CAACACTTCCATTTTGAATTTACCTTTTTTTTTTTGTGTTTACTTTCCCATACGCGTTTCTCTTCTTACACATTCCTACTAATTAATGAATATTTCTTTTTGTTTCTTTTTAATAATGGAAATAGAGGGCCGGTCAATTAGGTTGGTTCTGGTAAACAACTATAAATCCATTAAACAGTGTGCCTAAGCCTTCCTCGTACCAGCTCTACATTCTGAAATGAAACCTCAATGCTTGCGTTGCACCTAATTAATCTTATTTGAACTCAATAACCCATTGCCTTCTCTAGTGTTTGTCTCCTTCTCTCTCTCTCTCTTACACAAATGAAACGAAAGAGTTTCTTTTTTATGAAAAGGGAACAGTTTCCAAAATTGTGGAGTGATTGGAGGCGAGATTTGAGGAAGGTGAAGCCGCCATATAATCTGTCAGTGATCTTTAGAACGAGTAGATTTTAATTACGGATATTGCATTCATGTGTGTCAATAGTACCTATCATGTTTTGTTTTTCCCTCCCCTAATTAATGGTTATTCAAGGTACATAAATTCATGCAACTTAATTAGGTTTTTATTTTAGTGTGTGTAATATACGGCTATAAGCTGCAGCTGAGTCCGCAGCCAGGACTGGAAACCAGACGCGGATGATGTGGCGCCCCAAATTTTCATTGATGCCTCTGGTTTTAAGACAAAAAGTACCACTTTTTCGCTGTCTAACCTTTTCTGACTACGCACAAACTATGAGAGTTTCGTTTCTTCACCCACGAAATATCTACTATTAAATGTTTGATAATTAAAAAAGATAAATATAAAAATAAAGATTTTTTTTTCTAAATAATAAATTATTAATTTTTTACAAATTCTTCCCAATATAAATATACAAATCAAACCTCATTGTGTTTAGTAGAGCGGATAATAAATGGGATTTGTAGCTAGTAGTAATCCTAATAAATAAATGGAAATCTAGATGTAACTGATCTTTGAATATGGAGGGATATTTATAGTATATGTATATGCATACGATTAACAATTTAAAGAGAACTAAAAAAGTGACCTTGGGATCTATGACATGGAAATTCGTGACGCAGAAACACCAATTTCGAAGTTGGTGTGTCCACAGGAAATGGGTTTCTTTTATTTAATTTGTGTGATTCAACTATCATTATCTTTATTTTGTGTTTCCCCCTCGTTTTCATTCACCATTTCAAAAATTTCTGATCCCCATTTGTAATGTTGTGGCGGAAATTGTTGGTCTGGATTTTGATTGGAAGAAGGCATTTGTCAAATCAACGCATTTAAAGTATTCGTTAAGTTTCAATAATCAACCACATTTTAATACTTATTATTTCATAATCATAATTAAGTTCGTACTCCATTCAATTACCATAGCTACATTATACCATCTCAACAATAACACATCTTACATGCTTGAATTTCCCAGATAATATATATTCGGACTTCACCCAAGTTGTTATTAAATTTGGTCGGTGCAAAACTTTGTTGTGTTTTGCTAGAAAGGCCCCACTATAGCCTAACTTTTTGGCAAAATATATCCTATGCTATGCTCCATAATACTTATTAGTAACTAGGTTTTTTTATGTAATGAAATTTGTTAACATAAATCAACTATAACATTAAATTTTTATTATATTAATATATTTGAACACATAAACCGGCCAACTTGGCCATTCCACTTTAAAAATGAATTTTGGTAATTGATTGGTGAGATTTTGTTAGTGTGAAAAATGTGTTAAGTTTTAGATGCAAAGTAGCATTATTATAGTGACATGTTCATGTATCTAACTATCTTAATAAGACAATTATTTAATATTAAATTTAACTTTTTGTTAAAACTTTAAATAAAGTAACCTAGGTTGAATGGAAATATACTTTATTTTCGAGCCTTTTTGTTTTTGGTAATGAAATTTTATGAAATGAAGACATATACACATATTTTCCATATTTCCTTAAAATATAAAGTAACCTAAGTTGTTAAAATCGACTTCCTAATTGACTAAATTAAAATCTGTGAGGTTGCGATTAATTAAAGGGCACTAAAGTAACGATCCAATGAGATAAGAATTAATAATTTGATAGAATTGTAGATGGACAAGAATTAGGCTGATCCAAAAGGGAGGGTACAGGAAAATGGGTCCATTCAATAATTTGATTAAATAGATATGGTGTTAATTGAGAATGGCAGGTGAACATCTTCATAAGAACCGTGTTGTCTGCCACCACCATTTCATTTAATTTCCCTCCACCTTACACTTCAAATCTGCACCACATATTATAATTTTTATTGTCTCAAATAAAGCCCATAATTTATTTGGAATCTAAGTTTTATATAACTAGATTTGATACTACTTTCTTTGTTTAAAATATTGTTGTTTTCTCCTTGGATTAGTATGGTGATATTTACCAAAAGATTTTTGTATTAATATAAATGTTGTCTTTGCATATAAGTCTAAAATCTTTTTTATTTCTAATAAATCTGGGACTTGGCTTCCATACTTTATTAACAAACTCTGTTTCAAGCTTTTTGGTTGCTGCAATTGACATAATATTGGGTAAAAAATAAACCCATTTTATAATGAATATATTTAATAATAATGAGATACAAGCCAGGATGTATGTTTTATAATGAGATTGCATTTAATTCTTGTTTTTAATATATGTATTTATTTATTAATTAAATAACTCGTTCTGTTATGCGTGTCTATTTTCCCACCTCAAATTTGGCAGTTCAACAATTTGTCCAAAGTTTAGAGTAAAAAACGAAGAAAAATACCGTAAATTTAAAAACAGACAAAAAAAACAATATAATTACGAAATGACCGTAACTTTGGTATGATTTTAAATTGAGGTTTAAGAAAATGTTAAAGCAATCTCCATGACGTGGCAAAGGGGTTACTTGGGGGAGGATATATATATATTAGATTATTATCATTAAAGAGCTGAATAATTTGGCTTTTTGTGTCCTCCATACGCTAATTGCCAATGATGAATGGTCTTCCCCAACTGCAAAATTTAGGCACAAAAGTTTCATTTGATCATAATGAAGCGTTAATTGTGTTAATTCTCGATGGGTTAATAGCATAACCCTTTTCAAAAGACAAATGCTTTGACCACATGTCTTTCCAAATATATCAATAACCCCATTTGATCATCATCACACTCACATGCATCATATATATATTTTGTAATTTCTCATACAACTACTCATCTAATAATTTTTATGAATCAATAGAGACGAAATTCTTCCAAGTAGAAGTTATATAAAATAATTAATTAATAGGAAAAGAAAAGTATAGATTATTTTGAAGGGAAGGGTAGACAAATTAAGGTGGTAATTTAGGAGGAGAAAAGGGAGAGCTACAGAAATAAAGATTCGAATATCTGAGAATTGAGGGGGACTTTCAGTATGATCTGATTGGACGCCACGGAAAGGAAGTGACTGCTTTCGGTGACTCATTTCCCAATATTAAAATTCTGTTATTTTTATATAAAAAAATATGGAAATCATACCCCCTCAAATTATCCCTCTTTATTACGTTACATTACATAACATTAGAAGCTCAGTAAATATTATTCCCTCTCCGACTCCAACCAGGCAGAGAGGAGAGGATGCTCTGTTTCGGTCCGACGTCGTTTTCGGGGACGATGGTGATATATATCAGCTTGATGTCACGGTTGCATCAGATGGGCCCCGCGTCCAACCCAGCGGGAAAATCCACGTAAGGCTACTGTCTGAATTCTGAATCTGATACTGATAAAGCCGAGACTCAGAGATACGATCACATGCTATCGGTTGCAGCAACGCTCCCCCACGTGCAGCTGCAAATTCCCAGTCCCTCCCAATATGCCCACGCATCTGACCATTCTGCATCCGCCAGGCCCAGCAATATACACTTTGGGCTTTCTCCTAGTGTTGGGCTCACTATTGGGCCGGGCTAGGCCTCAATCTCGGGAACGGCCCAGTGCTGTTGACTCTGTTTGGACTTTCAAACGGTTCGCGTGTGCTACATTCAAAAGTTTCGTTGGTCCCCAAATATAATATAGAATCTAATTATCTTCTGTTTTGTTATTTGGTTTACATTATCCAAAAATAAATGTACGAGACAGATACACAACAGATAGAAGTTAAGAATATGTAGTTTTCTAAAATCTATTAGAAAAATTGGATAGCATATAATATAAGAGGGACTGAGGGGAGGATGCAATATAACTTATAAGTTATGACATGTAGCATCCAGGAGTTGAAAAGTCTGTGAAGATGATGAGCTCCCAAGTTCCAACACTAACAGAGGTGTGGATGGAAGCATATTCCTTGCTCCAAACCTACTCCACCCCCAAATTATTTGGGTGTATATTAACAATATTTTTCTCAACAAATTAAAAAAATTGCGATGCTTGTTTTTTCCAAACATTTATTTATTTTTACTAATTAATAGTTTAATTTACATTGAAATACATTTTCTAAAATGATTCAAATTTCAAACTGATAATAGTACAGTTGGGGTTCATGAAAGCATCATATTCCTTTTTTTTTTTTTTTAAGTAAAAAGCATCCTATTCTATTCTAGGCTTGTAGCATATATTATATTTTGTTATTTTTATTAATGGGACCCATTCACAACCCTAACCTTTCCTTCAATTGCTCCATTCTTGTAGCAAAATTTTCTTTCGTCAACATTTTTCTGTCTGTATTCTCAGAACATCCTTCCCAGTCCTAACCGGATGAGTTTTTGATTAAGATGCCATGACGAAATTATATTTATTGCACAGCAATAAAAATAAATTAAGATTTAGAAATTGTGCATGCTTTTGGGTCCCAAGCTGCACCATCACCATATCAGCCAATAGCCATCTTCTTCACTTCATCCTTCCCACACGAGTCACGTGGCAAGCACGACGCGCAAGGCAAGACCAAGACTCCCATATACTTGCGCTGCGGCAGAGTCAACCCCTGCGCTGCAGCAGCTGAGGAACAACAAAAGGGGTCTTTCCGGAGAAGTAATAACAGCAGGGATTCCAAGATGAAATCTGAAGCAGCCACCTTGATATTGGTCAATTTAGCTGCTATAATGGAGAGGGCCGACGAGTCCCTGTTGCCCGGAGTCTATAAGGAGCTTGGGGCGGCTCTCCACACCGATCCCACTGGCTTGGGTTCCCTTACTCTCTTCAGATCTATGGTTCAGTCTTCTTGTTACCCATTAGCCGCTTACTTAGCCGTCCATCACAACCGTGCCCATGTCATCGCTCTTGGTGCCTTCCTCTGGGCCGCCGCCACTTTCCTCGTCGCCCTTTCCTCCACATTCTTACAGGTCTTCATCTCTCTCCATTAATCTCCAATAAAATCTTGCTTCTTCCAAGATGATTAGGATTCAAGGGGTTTTCCTAAATTTTGTCCGTTTCTGTATCACACTCTCGAATTAGAAGATCCATGTAAACTCAATCATTATGAACTTCAAGATGGATGTAAATTCCATACTTTTGAGTGCTACTACTATTGTTAATTCTATACATGCCAGGTTACTCACTTAAATGGTTCCAATTTGATGTCCATATTTAGGTGGCAATTTCCAGAGGTTTAAATGGAATTGGTCTTGCCATTGTGATACCTGCCATTCAGTCTCTTGTTGCTGACTCGACCGACGAAAGCAACCGTGGCTTGGCTTTCGGATGGCTACAACTAACAGGAAACCTTGGTTCCATCATTGGTGGGCTTAGTTCTGTATTAATAGCCTCCACATCTTTCATGGGGATCCCGGGATGGAGAATTGCCTTTCATCTAGTTGGACTGATAAGTGTCTTAGTTGGTCTTCTAGTATGGCTTTTTGCTAATGATCCACGCTTTTCTGAGATTGATGGAAGAGTTAAGGATCAATCACGAAAGCCATTCTGGTCAGAATTGAAGGATCTAATAAAAGAATCAAAGTCAGTTCTAGGAATCCAATCCTTCCAGATAATTGTAGCTCAAGGGGTTGCAGGGTCATTTCCATGGTCCTCTTTGTCATTTGCTCCTATGTGGCTTGAACTCATAGGCTTTTCTCACGAGAAAACAGCATTCCTATGGACTCTCTTCATAGTTGCTAGTTCACTTGGTGGTCTTTTCGGAGGAAGAATGGGGGATATCTTTGCAAAACGCTTTCCTAATTCAGGAAGAATAGTTCTATCTCAGATAAGCTCAGGCTCTGCCATCCCTCTTGCAGCAATTTTGCTCCTGGTCTTGCCCGACGATCCATCCACAGCATTCTTGCATGGACTGGTCTTGTTCATAATGGGTTTGAGCATCTCATGGAATGGCCCAGCAACTAACAAGTATGTGTCTTCATCAACTAGAACTAAATTAATTTACTGCACATTACAACTTCGTATGATATGATATGCAATCTCATTCACTTTCCATGCCACCCTAGGAATCATACTAATCAAACAATGAACATTTTCGATGAGGATTAAAGGGATAACATAACCAAATTGCAACTAGTACAAGCTTTGCTGAAATTTTGCCCCAAATGTCCTTAGTGATCAATGGTCTTATGTCAACTAGTCTTTCTGCAACATAGTTTTTGTATTACTTTACCTGTGATGTTAATTGGAGTACACAGTCCAATATTTGCAGAAATAGTCCCCGAGAAGTCCCGCACGAGCATCTATGCTTTAGATCGATCATTCGAGTCGGTACTATCGTCCTTTGCTCCACCTGTTGTTGGAGTTCTGGCTCAGCATGTTTATGGATATAAACCAGTTGTCAGAGGATCATCGGACTCTGTCCAGATTGAAACTGATAGAGAGAATGCAAAATCACTAGCCAGGGCACTCTACACAGCCATTGGCATTCCAATGTCACTGTGCTGTTTTATCTACTCTTTCTTATACCGCTCGTATCCAAGAGACCGAGAGCGTGCAAGAATGCATGCCCTGATAGAATCTGAAATGCTGCAGCTTGAGGCAAGCAATTTGCCTTTCCATGAAGGGGACAGTCGGTTTCTGATTTCAGAGGCTAAAGATCTTAACAATAAGGATCAAACGGAGATTGACCTAATGTATGGAGTTGAAGACAGTCTTGATTTAAACGACAATGATGAAAAACATCTTCTTCAACACCAGCTAACATTTTCTGATTTGAAATGATAACTTACAGCAAATAACTTTCGAGATCGTCGGCGAAATTTTGATCAACATGATCCATTCCAAAGCAGCATTTGAGTTCATCTCCTTTGGAACTTTATACGAAATATAATTTGTGTAATTATGCTTATTATCTTACCTTATAGTCACTGAAATTACGAATATACAAGACTTGAGGCTGTTATAGAGAACAAATTAGTTCAGTTCAGGTAAAGCACACAGCGAAAATTATACTGATCTTTTAAAGCGAAAACAGATAATCAAAACAGAGAAATAATTTTAGCCTTTGAGGTTTTGACTGCACGTTTGACCAAGTAAATGTTGAGCTTACACATGTATTGGGCCTTGGCTTGAGTTTGTGAGGATTGGCCCTTCAGAATAAACTATGAATGTAAAAGGAATGCAATATATATATAAACAATTTTCATCAATCCCTATCGAGGCACGTGGCAATCTCTCACAAGTTCAATGTCAAAAATCTAGCAATCTTGCAGTATGGGTATATGTATATGGTCCCATGGTAGAGTAGAATGAAGCAACAAAGTGAGTCAACGGCTCTTAGCTTAGTCCTCAACTCCATAGACATCTGCCTGGTTGATTCTCTGAGGCCTATATTTGGATGCGGTCGTTTGGGCCCTTCTTTTGTCGTTTTGGATTCTAAATTCTAATCAATGGCTCAGGATCATTTATTAGAACTCTTCATAGCCTCCATCATATAGTTATCTTTCTGTGGAACTCTCTATTTGTTATCTTCGTAGAAGTATAGACGGGTCCACGATGAGGTTCACAGCGATCCAACAGTAAAAAATTGCTGTTATTCTTAAGTTTCGTTACTTCATAAATTCACTTTCCACCTCTGATATTTACTGCAAAGTAGAAACGAAATTAATTGGTGAAACTCGTTTTGAACTTGAGAAATCACTGCTAACATGAACTTAACACATCAGTCATGAGTTCAAATCTCCACTCCACTTATTGTGTTAAAAAAAATTTCAAAAAATCATTCCCCTAAAACTCATTCTTATTTTGTATTCTACACATTTTCAATAATTATTTTATAACTTTTGATATTTTTCCATTTATATATTAATAAAATTTATAAATTTCTTCTTAACAATTTTGATTTTATTATAAAAGATTAAAATTTTCCATTTAACTTCACGTTCTATTTTCATTGAGTCATGAGCGTCCACAGAATAGAGCAGTTTCAGTGGCAAGCGAGTCATACGTAGGGCCCAAAACTTAGGATCCTCGTTTGGGTCCCGGATTTACAGCGTGACCGGTGAATCCGGTGGGCCCCTCCGCAAAACAAAAACAGAAATTATATATTCTCTATGCGAATTAATGGTGGAGTTAGTGGCAAACATAATAGTTAAATAATATATCATACCATAAACAGTAGTTGATATTGAATTTATCAGAATATTACATATGGAAATAAACCGCAAACTTTTAACAGCATAGGCGGTAGAGTTTCACTGCTTGAACCTTAAAGGAATGAAGTTATATCTTTTCATCTACGTTGGTTAATATTATAATTAGAGTTAGTAGTAAAGTTTAAAACTTTCACAGAGAATGTGAAGGAATGAAAAAATTTACATTCTATTTTTTTTTTATACATATATGACTTTTCACATCTAAAATTTAGAAAGATTAATTAAAGGAAAATGTTTAAAGCCTATTATTTCTTCTTATAAATTTTTTAATCTTAGGTAGGGTTTTTTTCCTTCCTTTGCTCCATTTCGAATCGATTCACATATTAAGAGTGTCAATTTAACCATAGCTTACTAAAATATCTATGGATTCAATTTCCCGTAAAATATACATATACACATTAATAGTTAATCATATGGATCAATAATTATCTAGAAAAATAAAATGTAAATCAATTACTGATCAATTAATTAAAGAAAGGTTGTAATTCAGTTGCATAATTCAGTTGCATATTGTTAAACGTGAAAGAAATATGTGGACATGTATTGGTATAAATTGGCTAATTAAGTTTTATCCTTGAAAAGAGAAAAGTTAAATTATAAGTCTAGTTTACGACTTTTAAAGTTGTGTCTAATAGATCTATGAATTTTAAGTCTCTTTATTTCAAAAGAAAAAATAATAATGAAATAGATAAAATAATTAAATAAGTTTTTCAACTTTTAATTTCATGTCTAATAGGTCCCTAAATTTATAATTTTAGGTATAATATGTTTTTGATCTTTAGACATTTTTTAAATTCTATAGATATATCTAAGATACACAAATGATATTTGCATTTAGTAGTTCTACTAATTTTTCAAAGTGTAGGTGCTTTTGCAAAGAAATCCACCAAGGTCAAAGAGTTTGCAGCTAAATATGACAGTTGGTTCTTTCAACATTACTCAATTCTCCATGTGCCAAATTTATTTATTTTCTACCTTTTAACAAATAGTTTGTTAAACATAAAATTGAAAGTTTAGAAACTTATTAACCTTTAAATTTATGGATTAATTCAAACTTTTTAATTAGGTGATTAAATTGGTAATTAAGAAAAAAAAAAACCAAATGGTTGGTGGGAGAGAGGAGTTAAAGATGAGCATTAAAAGTAAACTCTCCAAGCATTCAACCAAATGGTCTCCGGTCTCACAGTATAATGGACTAATGGGTGGCAGCTCACGATGTCGACGCCTACCAAGTTCGCCCGTATGCATTTAGTCAAACCCTGGGTCAAACAGTCCAAAAACACCCACTTTTCTTCAACTTCAAACCATTCAAAAAAATAAAAATAAAAATAAAATTCTAGATCTGTACAAATTCCAATAAATATTAATGACACCATGTCTATATATATATTATATTAATGACACAACCCTCGTAGTTTTATTTTGTCTATTTTGAAAAGAAAAAAAAAAACCCAAATAACTTTAATATTATTTTCTTGAAAATTTGGCATGGGGTTATAAGACCTAAATTTATGCCCACTAATTTATCTAACCATCTTTGAAAAATTTATAACTTTATAAAGTAAATTGATTTGATTAGTAGAAGAAATGTGAGGTCTAAATTTTGGACCTTTGATTTAAAGTAGATACTATTCTTTGTTTAAGTATTAATCACTCTTGAATACTTGAATATGCACTCAAAAAACTAATTGAACCAAATTATACAATAGTCTTAAATAGACATTTGATATATGTATTTTTTTTTATGTTCATTCTAGTATTTATAGTTTGAAAATTATTTTGATTCTTATGTTTTAGTTTTTGTCATTGATTCATCTCCTTTCAAAATGTTTGTTTTGGTCCATTTACTTTTAAAAATATTCCTTAATTTTGTCCCTTTATTATTTTTTTAATGTTATCTTTTGGATCATAATTTCAAAACGACACTATATTAAAAATAAAACTAAAATTTTTATTGAAATGTAGTTATAGCTCTGTATTAAAGAGTTTTATTATGTATATAGGGCATCTTAAAATTTTGTGAATATATACTAAATCATTTTTTAAAGTACAAAGGCAAGAATGAACGATTTAGAGTACATGACTTAAATGAACAAAAATTAAAAGTATAGTGACAAAAATAAACATTTTGAGTAATTCCTACATATTTCCCTATACCAAATATTGTAGGATCAAACGATTGCTCTGTAAAATTAATTAAGATACATGTAAGCTGGCTCAAACATATAAAAAAAAATAACCAATAAACAAGAACCAAAAAATATTTGCATCTACTAACTAAATTAGCCAACATTACAAAACCTTGTAACTTTCAAATTCTAATGGCTTTTATGTAAGAAAGGGGACCATCCTCTAAGCCATGAGTTTCAATTTTACGAATTTTGATAGTCACAATCATTTGCCACAGTAGAAATTTTAATATCCAACTTCAAGATAAAAGAAAAATGACGTCTTTTATCTATATTCATGTGGGCACAAAATAACTTACTTTCTTTTTTAACTTCAATCTAAAAAGTAAAAACTACTACATTTGTGAAGTAAGCACATCATCCTCAATCATAATACATAAACTCAAAAATAATGAATGCATTATATTTGATTTCTTTTTTTTTTTTTGGTTGAACTGTCTGAGATTAGGCAAGAACCAGTAGCCTTAAATTAATATTCCCTATAATTCCTGTATTATACTTTCTCTATTTTTTTTCTTTACGATCTTAGGTTACAAATAAGAGAGAAAAAAAAAACTTTACCATCAATAAAGGGAGCCATTATTTGTCTGCTTAGCATAGTCGGCTGTGTATACTTCAATGAACCAAAAAGAAATCGAAAAGATGATAGTTAATTTAAATTATTAGTTTAATGTGTAAAAAGAGATGAGCAAAGATGCTAATGTTTTCAAAATAATTGATCACGGAAAGAGATGGGAGCAGGCAGCCACGAGACAAGTGAAAACGCGTAGACTAAAAGCGCTTCCTGTTATGTAAATCCTTGCTTTCTTTGCTACTTTCCATGTGACGCTGACCTATTTAAAATTATATTCCTACTCTCACTCCCCACCCTCTTGCATTGAAATCCCCTCTCTCCTACTTCTACTTCACTCACCGTCACTCACTCTCCAGATTCTCCATCCCAATTCAATCAAAATTTTTATGTTTAAACCCCAAACCAATCTTGCAGAGGAGAACCCAGATTTCAGAAATGGCTCGATTTGTGAATTTCGGAGCCACGACCAGGAGGGTATTTCTGCTCTTTCTTGTTTTGGTTCTGTTTGCTGCGGCTTCTCTGCTATGCGTTTGCGCCGAATCTGAATCGAGAAATGGAGAATCGATACGGAGAGGAAGAAGAATTCTGCAGGAGGAGCAGCCGAAGAAGAAGAAGTCCGGCGATGCCTTGCCCACCAAAATCCAGAACAAGGTCATTAAAGAGTCCACAACAAACCAGACCAAGCTCATTAAGAACAGTTTGTCGTCGAAGAACAAGACCACTCTCGGCAAAGCTGCGAATTCGACGAAGCCGACATCCGGCAGCATCATTTCGAAGGTTGGGATTAAGAAACTCAATTCCACCGGCAAGCTCCCAAAGCTAAATTCCACATCGAAATCCTCCAATTCTACCAAAACCAGTTCGTACTCTGCCAAGAAATTCTCAGATCTACCCAAATTAAGCACATCCAAGAACAAAACGACGACGCCCACTTCCCCAAAACAGTCCCAATCCCTTCTCGACAAAGCAAAAAAGGACCAGAAATCAGAGAAGAAACCAATTCAGGAGAAACCCAATAAACAAGGGCAGGCAAAAGCAAAAGCCAGTTGGATGGAGGAAGATGAAGACGATGACTTAGTGTCGGAATTCAGAGATCTGCCGACGAAATTTCAGGAGAGTGTGATCCCAGACCTGGCGAAAATCTCTTCCAGTTCCAAGGCTTACATTACGAAAGCCAACAAACAAATGACAATGGGATTCAAACCCATCGTGGGCAACAAGTACGCCTCCACCATCGCTTCCCTAATCTCCTTCGCGTTCATTTTGATTCCGTTAATCTTGGTTAGTCTGTTATTCAATCGAATCAAGGCTTATTTCTCGCTCCAAAAGCTCCTCATATTCATCCAAGTCTACCTCTCAATCTACTTCGGCATCCTGTGCTTATCCTCCCTGGTGACGGGGCTGGAGCCCCTCAAGTTTTTCTACTCTACTTCGCAGTCCACGTACATGTGTTTACAGGTGATGCAGACCCTAGGATACATCTTGTATCTGCTGCTCCTGGTGATGTATCTGGTGCTGGTGTTCTCCACCGATTGTGGGCTGGGCTCCAGGATGCTGGGCCTGGCCCAGACCTTCGTCGGGTATGCCGTCGGCCTGCATTACTACGTGTCGGTGTTCCACAGGATGGTTCTGCACCAGCCGCCGAGGACCAATTGGAAAGTCCACGGGATTTACGCCACGTGTTTTCTGGTCATCTGTGCCTTGGCCGGGGCCGAGAGGAGGAAGAAGGCTTACTTGGAAGAAGGCGGGGCAGAGGGCAAGAAAAGTTGATTTGATTACATACATCATAAATGTGATACTTATTTTTTGTTTTACCAAATATTTATTGGCTGCGACCAAGAATAATCTTGTTGTTTTTGAGTCTCTTACTTTTTCGTCGGGCAGTGGCAAAATGAAAAGAACGGGTGCCAATTGCCAATGCAAAGATGGAACAGCAAAAATGAATATGAGTTTAATTTCTTTATCGTATTTTGGTACTGGCAAGATTCGAAGGTGAAGCGGCAGTAAGAGTGATTTTGTCTGTTTCAGGAGGTGGGAAAAAAGTGGTGTCGGTGGCCGCGACGCAACGGAGAGGGAAAAATTTGTGCTCTGGGTTGTTTTAATTTATGAATATATGCAGCACCGACTTGTTTTATTAAGGGCAGCGAGAGCGTTGAATGCGACTTGGGCAGGTTGTTTCTTTCTCGAAATTGGTTCCCAATGCCATTTTATCTCCAAATTGGCTGTATTGGCATTTATAGCACCCACTTGYACCTGCACCTGCACCTTGTCTACGTACGTTACCTTTTCCCCATGTCAACAATATGTGGCCTCTAAATTTAACCTCTAACTCTAAAGATGTTTGCTTTTAAAAATATCTYATACAGTGTCGGGACGGCTTGGGGAAATTAAATATGGGTACAAGTTTTACATTAACGGGGAGGAAGGTTAGCAGTTGCGGTAGGATGCAAATGATGTTAATTTCGCAACGTCAAAGCTGACCATGGGGCATAAATKAGGGATACTTTCTTATACTACACAGATCATATATCACCACATTAATCCTGATTTAGAATCATCAGTATTAAACAATTATTTATAGAAACCRTAGAAAGTTGATATTACAAGGAAGCTAAGAATTATTTAACAAAATTAATTCAGATATTCCAAAAATGCTARTAATTTTTTCTAGCTAGAAGTTGTCAACTCATTGTTGCATGAAGTAATTTAACTTGAAAAATAACTCAATACCATGTACTCACCTCGTGTAAAAAATAGCTAATACTAATATAGTCGTTGCTAATGAATTCTTAAACTAAAAAATTGTTCGATTCTTGTGCAATCTGTCTTAAATTTTAAGTTCAAGTTGAATGAGAGTCAAATAGAGACATTTGAAACTGAACCAAGTCAAATTTCTCTAATAGAGAGATAATGTTTAATGGAGGATTAGGTGCTAATTGAATCTGCCCCAAGAAGTATAAGTTTATATCTTTTGTCACCACTTCCTCATCTACACGTTTGTGTTGTCCTTATCCGGAAATTTTGGAATCAGGCTAAGGGATGCTATGCTGTTGCAAATAACATAGAAAAAACATCTTCCAAGTTTCAAGATCTATTAATATTCCCTCTATTATTTATTCTTTACTACCTTTTTAATGGTCATGTTGATAATTCTTATTTAACGCCATTCAATTATCATTTCACTTCTTTCGTTGTCATCTTTATAGTTTATACAAATTCACAATTGACAACTACCACAAAACAATTTGAACCCCATTCTATTGCTATACAATTGAATTTTATTGCAGCGACAGATTAAATTAATCTAAGGCTTAGTCAAAATATTGCAAGTGCTTGTCAATAATAACTAAATGAAAAGATACCAGGTTGACGAATAAAACAATGTCATGTGTCCAAGATATCCTCATATATAGTAATAGATCATAGTAACAAACTTAATCTAAAATTAGATTATAATAACAGTATTGATTACTTGAGCCATAAATATTTAATATTTAAGATAAAGTTGACAAATAAAACAATATCATAGTGGCCAACCTGAGTATTAACTCAGCAGTAAATATATTTATTTATTTTTTTTAGGTGAGAGGTTCAAATCTTCGCACACTATATACTAAAAAAAGTCGATATATTGTACAGATCTAGGAAAGTTTTTTAATAATGTTAAATCACTATTCTTTTTATTACAACATATTTGGGGTGAGGTTTAAACCTCCAATCTCAACGATTATGAGTAAATATCTTAAGTTTTTTAATAATATTAAATCACTATTAAATTTATTCATGAGACATAAAATTAAAATTTCATGAATCTATCAACACTTTGAAAAATTTTTTATGATGAAAACAAGAAAGGGGAAATGGGCAAAAGTTGAAGGCCCAAATGAGTGGGTGAAAGAGGTCCATATAAAGGGGTATTTGTTGGGGGCCCAAATTGGTGAAAGAGAAACAAACAGAACTGCCACTGGTGACTGGTCCCCCACCCGTTGGTAAGCCAACTCTGGACTTCACCATTTGCTGCGCATTTTGAGATTGAATGAAAGGGACATCGCTTCAAGATTCTCCTGAAATCAAACATTGCCCCTTCCGACTTCCACTCCATTCTTTCACTTTCTTTCTTTCAAATCTCTTTATTCATTTATTATTCATAACATAAATTTAAATATATACATTTTCAAACTCAAGCCAAGGCCAAAGCCCAAGTCTTCCTCTCTATTCCTTTTCCTTTCCACCAGCTTTCATTTTTTCCAATAACATCGCATCTACTTATAATTTATCCAAAAAAAAAAACAAAGAAAAGAAAAAAATCTGAAGCCAAACCCAATCCAACCCAACAGGGACATTACAGAGGTCCATCTCACAACGTAAGAGTTTGTCTTCTTCCTTACATAGTGCGCTGCCTGCTGCCTCCTTTGTCCCACCTTCCACCTTCCTCTGTCGAGTGCTTCCCTTTATTTACCCTCTTCAACGCTCCCATCCATTTTTCTTCCCCACTTTTATTTCAATTTTTAGCAACCTTTTCACAATTCATCTGTCCCTTTTTTTTCTTTTCCTTTAAACAATTCAGTTCTGTGTTACTGTCTTAAATTGATAACCCAATTGCACGCCACTCTGAAACCATTTAAATACTACTTCTTTCATAATTTATATAACCAACTTTATTAACACATATATGCTCGTCAATTTCAGCATTCTTAATTTACATGTATATATAGTTCAACTTCATTGTTTGCATGTGACCTAACCAGCCGGAAAGGTTGAAGTTCAACTACTTTGTTTAAGATTCAACTGTCAACAACCAATGAATTTAATTAAGGAGGGGAAAAAGTGCCAATTATCATGAGCTTAATTTAGTTATTATAGTATCTTACTTCTTTTCTAATCTCTCATCCCTATATTATATTTGTTATTTGTGTGATTACTTAAAATATACCAACTTTGAAAAAAAAAATTAAATCGATAAAAACAAAAAAGACAAACAAAAAATTCAATTTCCAGGACCAACCATAAACCATGTCACGGTTTCCTATTCAGAAAGGTGCAAACTTGAGGCTGTCTATCAACCCAAACAAACTAGATTTGGCAAAGAATTGAATTCTAAAAGTGCAAGATTTAGTCCTTCCAATCTTGGAATTATGCTCCCAAATTATAGAACTTTCCATTTGGGTTTTTATTTTTCCCCATTTCCCAAAAATCTCCATTGCATTTTCATCAATATAACAAAAATCCAGAAAATACTTAGATTACCTGACCTATCTCCTTGCTTACCAACTCTGAAATATTGAAAACTTGTTATTTTTTATCTTAATTGTCATGATGAGCACAAAATAAGTATTTTGTATAAGAATTTAAGTTTTCTCCAATTTAAAATGGGTCATTTGACTCATTTAAGTCGGCAGAAATTATTCAATACATTATTATAGCGGAAAAGTATTCCCGTTTATTAACAGGCAATAAATAAACTTTGTAAAAATAAGTGTGCAAAATAGTGGCCACCGAGGCAGTGCCGTGACAAGAACAGCTAAAGAAAGTACTTGGGTTGGCCGTTCTCCATTTATTTTTTTTTCCATTTGTTATTGGCACAGAATTGAAGTTTTAGAAGATTTGGGGACATTTATGTAATTTCATCTTCCTCGATTCAAAACGGTAAAATGACAGGCGTGTAAGGAATGGGCCAGCCCGGGAAACTAAAAGGAAAACCGTAATAATAATTGGAAAAATTGGGAGTGGCCCACTGGGCCCATCTTATTTTCTCCAAACGCTATCCCGAAGACCAATATTCTCACGCGCTCTCGGTCGCGGTCGTCCTCTACACCCACTTTTAGTGCGAGGCTGTGACACACTCTCACGTGTGACATCACAACTGTACGTCAGAATCCCCACTGCTGCGCGTGGGATATTTTTTGTTGTTTGTGGAAAATTAAATATTTTAGCATTGACAGCGTTTAGCTATTACATTGCGAGATCTTCTTGATTGTCGGAATCTAAACGCCCAAACGTCGTCGTTTCGCCCGCCACCGGCACCGTCTACTCTCCTGCTTCTCTCTCTCTCTCTCTTCTCCCGTCCTCAGTTTTTGTAGCAGAGAGCTCTGAATCAAAGCAAACCTTCCTGTTCACCAAACCAAAATTTGAATTTTTTCAATTTCTTTATAAGTTTTTCTTTTCCTTTCCTCGTTGTTGCTAAGGATTACAAGCTTGTTTACTCGCGCTCTGGCTTATTGGAAGCAGCTTTTTGCTCCGAGGTATCTCCTCTGGACCTGCTATTTCTTTGTTTTCTTATTTTGCTTCCCCAATGTCTGGAAAGATATATATTTGAATCCCAGTTGCTTCTTTATGTTTTTTTCCCCCTTGTAATTTCTTCTCCTTCAAATTCCAATCTTCGTTTGGACGCTTCTTTTTCTTCTTTTGTCTGGGCATGTTCTTTTGGTTGTGGGTTTTAATTTTTATCGTTTTTATTGTTTAAAGCTGTCGCCTTCAGATCTGTGTACGCAGAACAAGCAAAACTATACAGATATGCTACAATCAAGTTGGTTGCTTTTTGAACTTGTTTCTAAAATCTTGGGTCAATTTCACTCTTCTTTCAAGTACAATTCATTTTCATTGCCGAAAAGTAAAGCCACCCAATTCTTCATTGATCTGAAAAGCTCCCCGATTTACATAATTTCGTTTTCACCTGTGATGATGGCGTCTTATCTTGAATGGCTCGTTTTGAGAAGTGGGGGCTCTGATTGAACGTGGATTTCTAATTTCCATGTCGATCCATTTGGAAAAAAATCAACTTTTGATTGCGGTTGTGTTTTGAGTTTAACTCGTTATAGTCTTACAAGATTAGCCTTAGAGTGATAGAGCCTTGTATATGTTTGGAACTTATATAGCAGTAATCGATGCAGCCTTCTAATTGTACGGTATGCTCTAGAATGTAATTTAGTGTTCTGTCAAAATCTACTCCATTTCCGTAGTTGCGTATGAATGTTAAAGATCGTGTATGTTCGTGATGATAATGAACGAGACAGAAAATCCGGCTGCTTGTAAAAAAAATTGAATGTTACTTGCTGATACTGCTTATTTGGTTTAGGTGAATTGTTGTCTGTCCAATACTTTGCTAACTTCTTATATTATTTGCAGTTTTGGAGATTTGAATTGGTCCAGCCCAGTAATGAGACTTTAGTTGTTGCCCTTCCGATAATTATTTAGTCGATAATGGAAAAGGTATCTACGGACTGTCCTTATCCAGGATGTTTCTTTTGTGTCATGAAGGAAGGAAATCCAAGTAAGCGGAAAGCAAGTATCCTGAAATTCTTTAGAGAGCTTCCTTCTCAGGACGATGATGGTCAAGTTCTCCCCATTAGTGGCCTTTGGAACACAGCCATGGCACATCCTAACGATCCTGAATTTATCGAATTGGGAATATTTGAATGTATGTCTGCACTTATATGGAAGGGACTGAAAAATCGCCGCTGGCTTTCTCACGACCAAAATATTTACATTCCATATTATGCAGCACATATCATTGGATCCTACACCATGAACATGGAGGAGTTTGCTGAAAGTGCTGTGCATGCCGGGGTAATTCCACCGCTAGTTGAACTTCTGAGGGGAAGATTGACTTGGGTTGAACAGAGGGTAGCTGTTCGTGCCCTCGGACATCTGGCTACATATGCAACTACTTTCCCTTCCGTGGCTAGCCACACTGAGATACTCGAGCTCTCAATTCAACTGGCAATGAGTTCTCTTGAAATTGTTTATACTCACTTTTACCAGTATGTGGACAGAAGGCTCAGTTATCATTGTGATCTGCTCACTCGTGGAATGGGAGGGGTCGAAATGGAATCCAGGAAAGCAGAGGAATGGGCTAGTCAGTTACAGTGTTGGTCCTTACAACTCATCAACTGCTTTGCATTTAAACCCGAGTTTCTTCCAACTATATGCAAGCCCGAATTCCTAGTAAAGCTACCTGGAATGTGGGGCGGTCTCGTTAATGAAAATTCACCTGCTGGTATTGGTTTATTAAGAACAATCTGCCATCACAAGCTTGGTAGGGCACCTGTTGCTAGCTGTCCGAGTATTATCGAAGCCTTGTGTAACATTGCCCGCTCTTCGGATGATTGGCAGTCTATGGCTATTGACTGTCTAATGTGGTTGCTTCAGGATCCAAATACAAGTCATAAGGTTGGATATCCTTCTCTCTTTGATTTTCACAGTAGAGCAATGACCTTGTTGAAAATAAATGTCTAGGAAACGATGTATTTTGTTTTTCCATGTTTTGTGTGATTATTTGCGACACAATTTGAATTGGTTCAGCGAACACTAGAAGAGGTAAATTGCTAATTAACTCCAAGAAATATTTGGCAACTTAACTACCATAAAACTCGGTTTCGTCAACTGTTGTCGGTGATGCCAGATAGCATAATGCTCTATCTGTTCCTATATTGCTTTCTTGGTATTTTACTATTTTGCAATGTGATCCAAAAGCTATTAGGATCTTCAAATACAGATTGCATTTAACATATTAAGCCCATTAGATCGGAAGTCTTTCACATTGAGTATGTGCTAAACCGTGCCATCATGTTCCCAGGTGATCGACAAAGCCGCACCTGCACTTCTGGATCTTGCAGAGATATCATCTCTGGGTGATCACAGAAAACTGGGGGAATCCATAGTTAATGTTCTTCAAGAATGTGTGCAATCACAAGGGGCTGGACGCAGTTCGATCAACAGCCGTACAAAGGAACAGATTGAGGAACTACTAAAATCAAGGCAGAGACTCAAGTGGGAAAAGAACATGCCAAAAGAGGACCTTCGAATCAAACAGGCCGCAGCACTAGTAATCAAGCTCGAAGGAAATTCCATGTTTTCATCAGGAAATATATCTGCAGCTGCATCCAAGTACTCCGAAGCACTAGCATTATGTCCGATGAGATCCAAAAAGGAACGAGTCGTTCTGTACAGTAACCGTGCTCAGTGTTATCTTCTGTTGCAGCAGCCCTTGGCTGCCATTGGTGATGCCACACGGGCACTCTGTCTCCACAACCCTGTAAACCGTCATGCCAAAAGTCTTTGGAGAAGAGCTCAGGCATATGACATGCTTGGCTTGGCAAAAGAAAGCCTCTTGGATGCCATTTTGTTCATAAACGAGTGCTCTCAGTCCAATGATCCCGATCTTTCGTTAAGACAAAACAAGGTTCCTGACTACGCAGAACGACTTGTTAAGAAGCAGATGCGTGCAGCTTGGCTATTCAGGGAGGCAGCTATTAAACATGGCAATGTCCAATGTGAAGATGGCGCTGGGGATATCTATGGTAGAGAGACTGATGATTCTGAATGGGAGACAGCCAGTGAAAGTGATATAGGAAACGATGGAAGGGACGAAATGGGAGATGAAGAAGACGACGATGACGAAGACTGTGAATGGAAAGATGAAGATAAATATGAGTCAACCAAAGGTAACTTCCAACTCATCAATTCTGGGTAACTGAGAATTGCAATCTGTTGAATTCCAATTTCATTATATGTTTTTCAGTACTATTTTTTTGGATTTTTGTATAGAAATTTTGAATGAGATGTTGATGTGATATACAGAGATGAAGCATGGCTATAAAGTGCAGCTTGCTGAGAATGAAGCATAAATTAGAGGAATCACAAACTGAGTTGCAGGATCTGAAGAAGAAGTCATCTTTCAAATCATTGTTCAAAAAGTAAAACTTGATTTCCTTTTTGTTCTTACTAGTTTTCTTCTCTCTCATGGTTTCATTGCCCCCAAATTTAATTTTCAATCGAATCCCCAACTGTAGAAAATGAATTAGGAATGTCTAGAWGATTTTCTCTCCCTTTTTTTCTTTCTTTCTCAGAGTGATTATAAGAGGTTTGTGTACATAGACAATTCCATGTGTTCTTTATTTTTAAACTGCAAATTCCAATCTTATCATTGATTTTCTTTCGTGAATGATCCAGATTCTTGATAATGATTCTGTCTGTAGATTTCTGTTTTTTGTTTGCCCGTTGGTTCTTTCATTCCCGAGAGGCGTCTATGTCGTTCGATGTGATTAACTTTTTTATTATAATTATTTATAGATATGCTATACAAAATTGTAAAGTTCTCACTTAACTAAATTATTCATGTAATTGCAATTTAGTCTTGGAAGTTATATTTTCAGCTAAAAGGTCGTAAATTGGGATCGAAATTCAACTTAGAATTACACCTCATAATTAAAACATGTAATTAAAATTCTTTAAACTTTAGATATTAAATAAAAGAAAATTGCGGGGTAGCAAAAGTCTTTTATGTAGTTCAAAATGTGTCACTCGCTTTTTTAAATTAAATATAATATATATTTTCACTTATATCAATTTAGATAATTATATAGCAGTATATTAGATAATCATATTAAATGTATATAGTAGTTAAATATATTATAAATATATATCATTTTGTAAAATTGTCATTTTATAATTAGATCGCTATTTAAGTGCTATATTTAAAAAAATTAAATGTAGTTGCAGTTTTACTAATTTTACTAAATGTTTTTGCTATATTTACAACTGCACTTTAAATCAATAAAAAATTAGTCATTACCTTAGAAAATTAAATTTAGAATTTAATCTAAAAACTACAATCAGATAAATACTGAACTTCGGTTGCGTATGAAATTATTCTCGTTAAGTATGAGCGTCTCGATTCTCTGTATGTGAAGTATGTGAATGTACTATAAAAAAAGGAAGGGAAAAAAAAATCTACAAATGTAAAATAATATTATATGAGGAAAATCATATTCTATTCCGACATATCGGCGCCGCCGTGGACGGTGGACCAAACGAGCTTGGACAGTGCGGCAAGCGCGACGTCGACGGCATCCTTGAACTGAAATTCCGTGGCGTTTGGGTGCTTATACGTCACTTTAGGAATCAAACTCACCACCTCCTCACGCATTCGCTTCACTTTATCTTTAGGAATCTTCAAAAGCTCCTCCTCGATCCTCTTCCTTCCATCCCCTTTCTCATCGATGTACACAGAATAATCCGTGGGCTCCGCCGGCAAATACCACAAATACTGT